TTTTTTATATTGTTATCATAGAATGTTGCAAAAAATGATTATTCATAAAATTATAAGGGATCATCAATGAAAGACGTTCAGACTAAAGATGGTTGGGATGAAGCCTTTTTACTGCCAGTAAATCTGGAGAATTCCTGACCGCGGCCTAGAGAAGATTATTGTAAAATTTATTCCCATCATATCTAAAATAATTCTTCAATACTCGTTTTTTTTTATTCATTTAATTGACGACTAGCATTAGTTTGAGTCATCTCTCTTGAATTATGTTCTGATTTATAACATAATTTGCTTAAAACCATGGAAGATTTTCTTATAAACTTGAGTTCGGACCTTGACAAATTTTTTTTTTCGTGATTCCGATCCTAGTTTCGATCTTGAATGTGTGTGAATAGACGACGCAACCATGAAAACTCACAATCACACTCTTTGTAATGAACTGCTATTTAATAAAAAGGAAGTTGTATATTTGAGTGAGCAAGTTCTTTCTAGAAAGTGGGTTTTCTTTATACTGGGGGTCTAGTAGAAGAGGAAGGGATCGAAAAAACTGAACAAATCTAGACAGAGGTGGGATCAAAAAATGTGATTTTTACCTAGACATATTTTATGGATGATCCTTAACCCATGGACTACATTCATCTTGAATTGTTGCCCGATTATCTTGTCTAAAATACATCCTTTTATATGTGAAAATTATATTCATTATTATAATGGATTAAGAAAGAATTTCTGACTACTTGAGATGGAATTTTAATAAAAGGCATAGTTTCAAGAATAATGAATGCGACTACATAAGAGATTTGACAAAGTCTTCATTGCATTAATATGCATATAAAAACAATTCTACTGCTGATATATTAATATTTTTCTACATAATGCAAAAGGATTCCTAGTATATTTACTCATTCAATGGTTCAGATTTTTTAGCATGCGTACGAAAATTATTCATGCGAGTAGTCGTGCAATTTAATTATTAATCAATTTTCTTGGACCAGTAGTTTTCAAAATCATGATTGAAAAATTTTCCTCTGATGGAAAGACATAAGACTTTTATTAGAATTTCAACATAAAAATAAATAGTCTGGTCTCATTGATCAAGATAATAAGAATCTGGAAAGTATTACAATATATTTAAGATATGCTCACGTTCAAACAAGCTTCTTTTAACAGAAATGAAAGCGAGACACTAACCTGAATTTATAGATGAAAGGAATCTTGTTTGATTGATCAAGAATATAAGAACCTCGATATAGTATTATATAAGCTATTTAAGATTTCTTGAAGTTTAATCAAGCATCTTTCGACAGGAAAGAAAACAGATTCTTGTCTATTCTTCAAAACTAACATCACACAATGTCTATCCAATTTAAGATCTGAATTCGAATTGATTCAAGCTTGAATCAAGAAAAAAACTTAAATGATAAGTCAATATTGGTCCTGAAATTGATATTGAATTTTGGATTTTTTCAATGGACTGCGACGCGATGATGATACTTCCAATGTGTATCATTGGTCGATCATAAAAGTTTGATTTAAATAGTTATAAAAAAAAATTTTTTTCATTGTGTCCTTATTGACACATAAAATGTATTTGATCTCATTGTGATTGTGTTCATCGAATATTATAACAACAAATGCTATCAATATTGTTGTAGCCCATAAATAAAACGTTGTCGATCCAACAACAATTTCAGAGTCAAATTTGAGATTTGATCTCAACATGCATTTCTGGCAAAGTATGAAATGTATGTCAATGTCAGATAAATAAACATATTGAATAAAAAAACAATGCATTTGTTGACTTATTAGTGAGTCAAGTGGTTGCCAATAGTTTTCTTCTAAGAGACAATCTGAAAGTTTCTTAACAACATATTTGACTATTATTTTTTTCGTGTATTTAAATATATTGGTAGTGTATATGTACCTAGAATTATTCTATGACTTTTGACTATTGATTTATAAGTAAGTCTTGTCAGGACTAAAAAGAATATTCTCGAGAGACAAGAATCGTAATTCTTCTGACGGCAAGTCTACATCAAATAAGTTCCGTAAATACATAGAATCTAATAGTGATCTCTTCCTTACAAAATGACATAAGAATCGAGAATTTGGTTAATCTACTAAACAAAGATGAAGTTGTGTGACAGAGGGTCATTTTTTGTTGAAAAGACGAAAAACAGAAAAATAGGTTTTATGGAAGCCTAGAAAAATTCTAATGCACTATCAATTCATTTAAATACGTGAAAAGCATTGTCCAATATTTTCTCTAGAACCTTTCGGTGTACACATTAGCCATTTTATTTACCTCTGTTTTTGTTTATTAAAATTGAAAAAAGAAAATATTTGTATTGATGTATAGTAAAATCTACACTTAAATCATAAGAATCAGACAAGTATGCAAGAAAGAAGCAACAAAAGAGAATCAAGTAAGAATTCAAAAACATAAGAATCTTATCAGAGAGACACCTCTTTCATCAGCCAAAATTTAGTTTATATTGATCTCGCTAAATAGTCAAAATCTTTTTTTTTTGGTTCCGATAAAAATTTTGAATGGTGAGCAAAAAGAGAATCGTTCTAAGAATATTCATTAGTAATGTGTTTTCTTATGAGTATTCATATGAGTTTTTTTTCTTAAAGATTTACTTATAGACGAAAGCAGAAGTACTCAATATGGTATTCATCATCGTTGTCTCGAAGGATATTCATTAAAACACTTATGAACACGTACGTTTAACAATAAATTGAAGTTATGTAATAAAGAAAAACAACACAATGCAATAAATCGTAGATACAAAAAATGTGTTTCTAATGAAATAGTGTTGTGTTTTCTTTTTTCAGATTGTAAATTGATGCAACAATTAATGATTAAACATTTCTTTCTTACAAATCGATTGCAATTTCAAATTATGAAGACATATCCACAATACTGTAAGTGAATAATTTCAAAATTTTATTTATTTTTTTATAAATTCACTAAATGAAACCATAGTCATTAGTGTAAAAATATTCAGTTGAGCTGTTTTTGAAATAATCAAGAGTCTTTATTATTCAGTGACATTCTTAGTCTAGTTTTTAAACTGGAAAAGTTTATATCTATTGTGTATATTGAAAATTATAATAATAAAATAATATACCCTTAGTACTCAAATTTATTATTACTTTTTTCTTAAAACTTTCATTATATGTATCTGTTGTTTTATAGGTCAGTTGTATATTTTGAATGAAACAAGTATGCTACAATAGTTTTGAATAGAATATAAGCCTGTAAGCCTTTTACATAGATCGGTGCAATACACAAATATTACAAACGAATAATTATTATTACAAGATTAGTACTCGATTATCGTAGTCAGATACTCGGATCTCAGCACAAGTACCACTGATGACTACTCAAAAGTCATAAATTCTGTGGTATTTTATAGCGTGAGTACTTGCTGAGTATTCGCCTATGACTAGCTTGACTAGGAACTGAATTAGCAGATTTTTTTTCTGATAATAAGATACAATCTTGTTGTTATATGTTTTCTTCATATAAAATAAACTGATTTTGTCAGTATGAACAATGTCTCTCATGATTTAATAGATATTTCTATTTCATCTCCTTTGTCATAAACTAACATATTACGTGACAATACCTGTATACACGCAATGTTGACATAAAGATAAAGAAAATATATCTTAACTCGATGACAACTATGATTAACATGTCAACTCGGTTTTTTTCTTTCTTTCTTTCTTTTTTGTTTAAAAGTCAGAATCATTTATGATTTAGATTCATTACTCACCGATGTAAAAGCTATTCATTAGCATAAAATCAACATGCAATATTATAGTAGTGAAATAAATTTTTCAAGTTCTTTTAAATTTATTGAATACGATACGTATGCATCTGGACTTCAAAATCAAATTCCTAGCATAATATTTTCCATCCTGTTTTTCTTGCGTACTTATTCTTTTTCATTCTATTTAGCCAAAAGGAAAAGAGAGAGAGAGAGTGAAAGAAGAAAAGAAGCAAGATATTATTATTATTGTTATTAAACGATAGATGTAAAAAGGAGACGAACCGGTTTTTTGGTTTACATCCAAGGTCAAATATACTGTGTCTTTAATGAGCATACCGTACATCATCACATCAGTATAAAAATAAACAAGTAAAAATCTACATTCAATAAAGTGAGTAGTATATAAAGAAAATTGATTGTGAATAATGAAAGTAAAAGGTTTTTTCTTGATTTGAATGAAAATTCTATTGTCTATTCTTTTTAATACTTTTATGTCATACAAAAATTGTCATTTATCAAATATACTAATGTTTTTTTTTTATTACAAAAAAAAAGAAAATTATTATAAAAGAAAAGAAGATTATAGATACATAATCTATATATAAAACTATTGTATTCATGATTTAGCTAAGCTTGTAAACATATTATTCCTTATATCAATTTGAACTAAATATATACGATGAAGAAGAATATTATAAATAACGAGAAAATTTGAATGATTACAAAAAAGAAAAGTATTTTCTTTCTTTTTTTTAGTTGTTGTATATATAAATGAATAAAACAACAAGACAGTGAGCACATTTTTATTATCGATTTTTTTAAAATTTCTTTTTCAATCTTTCTAATAAACATCTACATATATATTAAAAAAACATATGTCATTTTAATCAAAATATTACTTTTCTAAGAAATAAATCGTTTTTTTTGTACGTTCTGTCATAATTAATCTATGTTGTCTATATATGATGAGTAGCTTTTTTTCCTTTTTAAAGAAAAAGCAAAAAAGAAATCTAAAATGATCACTTTCTTTTTCTTTGACTATAAGTAACAAAGACATCATTGTATCAGATATATGCGTGTACGTTTTCTCTTTCTCTATTTTAAAAAGCAATTCGCTTAGCTATGACAAGCCCAATCCAAATCTAACGCCGTGTGACGTTCATTAGGCTCTTGGGGATTTGCAGACGACTACTATTCTACATATAGAGAACGAAAGAGAGAAAGTAAGCTTTTCTTTTTCCTTTTCCCGTCAAAGTTCACTGTGTATTTTTTTTTGCATTTGATGTTGTTTTAATTAAAACTGAACGAGCGAAAGTGCCGGTGATTTTTTGATTCTTACACGCGATGTTGTGCCCTGTCACAATAGCTTTAAGCCTTTCTTTCTTTTACAAAAAAAAAGAAAAAAAAAGAACAAGGTTTCAACAATTGTCAATGAATCAATGAACATTTCTAGTTGATTTTCTGCTTCATCAACAAACTAGGGAAATTAGTATTTTTTCTCTAAAAAATAGAAAGAGCGAGAAAGAGACCCACACCTTTTGCTTGTACGAACGAACATTACTTGAAGAAAAAAAAGAAGAAGAAACCGAATGAATAATTGAAATCTATTAAAGGCGACAACGGTGGTTTATCAGGAAAAGGTAGTTCATTATCATCTAAGTTAAGATTGATTGGTGGAAAAATAATTGAAAAAAAGAAGAAAACTGAGGTCATTTACAAATCTAGTTGATGGCTACATAAGTTAAAAAGTAAATTTCTGTTTTTTTTTGGAATATCTTTTATAGATTGATTGTTTTTCTATGGCCAATATAATAATAATAATAATAACAACAACAACTGCAGTCTGTTGTTGGTAATGTCAGATGATGCTATGCTATGATAAACATGTTTATTT